GCTGGGCTGTTCAGCTGCCGGACAGGGCGCGGGCGGAGACGAGGAGTGGTGCTGCGGTCGCAGGTGCCTCCTGCAGCTCCGGCGACCCGGTGCGAGTCGGCATGTCCGGTCCTGGAGCTGAGTCGCCTCCTGGGTGTGAAACTGAGTTTTTCTGCCCACCGATTCCTAAACCCAGAAAAGATCCCCAACGAATTCCCGAGTACAGCGAGCGCCTCCCACCTCATGTGCAGGAAAAGTAAAATAGGGTTTACAGACTACACTCAAAACACCCGACGCGTGAAACCCCGCTGGGCTCAGGCGAGGAGCCCCAGGAGACCAGAGTTTGCAGCTGCCGGGCTCTGAGGGAGGAGGGGCCGTGAGAGCGCGCCTGCGCGCGCTCGTGAGTACGGTACTGAGTGGAAGTTTCTCAGAAGTGGTGGGGAGGAGAAAATAGGTAGGGATCGACCCGAGCAGAGAGGGCAGCTTTCGTGGGAGTTAGGGTGAGGGCAGCGCCCATCCTAGTATAGGTCTAGGAACCAGTACAGAGGGGAATGTGCATGTCCGAAAAGTGGCCTGCTTGGGCATGGGAACAGTGTGAAAGGCTGCAATGGGAATTTCAGGGTCCTAGCCCGCACCCCTGGGTTCCAAAAAGATCGCAGGTGTGCAGGCACTTGGTGAACTGGCTGGCCTGTGTGCCATCACGAAAGTGTTATTGCAATGGAAAATCCCTCCCTCTCCCCCACAATAATGTCATACCTGCCTGTTTGCTGTGTGGGGGTCCTCAGGGAGCGCAAAGGAGTGAGCAGGAGAGGAAGCATTTAGGAGTCACTGGGGACAGGAACCAGGGCAAGGGTACGTGACAGGGTAATCCCACCCTCCCTGCAGTCCTGGGGCAGGTAAACTCAGGCTTAACAAGCTCAGAGGGCCACAGGGCAATCGGGCCTCCAGTTCAGACCTGAAGAGCTGCAGAGGGCAGGCGGGAGGTGGAAGGGGCCTCGTTGATCTGTAAGGCAATTCTCGCTTGTTAACCAACTTCCAGGCGAGAGTGGACCGCACCACCACCAGGAAAGAAAGCAGAGGCACCTAGCTTGCCTTCAGGATTCCCACCTCCCACACCATGTATGTAAAGAAAGCTGCCGGTTATCATACATCCCACTGTCTGGCCCCTAGGACATAAATGCATACCTGGGCTTATCCAGACTTGCAGAAATAGACAAAGGTGACATTTCACCAGGTTCTAAATACTTCGCAGCCAACACGGTCACTGCAGAAGGCTGCTTCCTCGGCACTCCTGCTGGGAGACCAGGCTTCCCAGGACTCTCTTAGTGCTCGCAACATTCTTGGACTCTGACCCACTCTCTCCAGCCTCCTTTCTTTCTGCTTCCCAGCCCTGTTTGCCTCCCTCCCAGTGTGCTGCTGGTGCAGTAGTTACCTCCCCTGCCCAGCACCAAGCTTTAAAAGGCAGGGCGAGGAGCTGCCGTGACCACCCCCTGACTGCCGGTGCCTGGCACAGGGTAGGAGCACACTGATGGTGGTTTAATGAGTAAGATAAAAGCCCTGATGGTGATTTCAATCCTTCCATCAGGACCATTACTTGGTCTCAAAGTAAAGTCAGTGCACAGAAGACCAAGTTGTCTGTATAGATCCGCATTTTTCTACCATGATGAATAATTGGAAACACCTTATAAATTATATGTGTTAGAATGTATTATGTACTTTGGATTAGACTGAAAAATCTGTATGTGGATTTTGTTTTGATTGGGTGATACTGGGGATCAAACCCAGGGCCTCTCTACCACTGAGCTATATCTCTAGCCCTTAATTTCTTATTTCAGGACAGAGTCTCACTAAGTTGTCCAGGCTGCCCCAGAACTTGTAATCCTCCTGTCTCAGCCTCCCATGTAGCTGGAATCACATGCATGCACCACCACACCCAGCCTTCTATACATGTTTTTAAATAAAACATGAGACTTCAAAAATCATTTTAGCAGACCCTCCTTGTGCCCCTGCCCTCAGGTGGTAGATTTGCATCCTTTTCTATTGTCAGGAAAAGTTTAAGAAATAGGGGTCACATTTCAACTTCCTCCCTACCATGTTGGAGGTAAGCTTGTCATATGCAGGATAGTAGGGAAAAACCAAACTTTGGAATCAATGGCAGTAACTAAAATTACCAAACTCTGACTGGGTGCCCATGCCCAGTTTTTCTCTAAGGGCAACGCATAGGATGGGACTTTAGGCAGGAATATAGTTAAACCCACCACTTAGGAAAGCAGGCTTGGTTGATGTGTTTGCCAGCTCAGGCCACCATAGCATAATGCTACAAACTAGGTGGCTTAAACAACACATTTATTTCTCCACAGATCTAGATGCTGGAAGTCCAAGACCAAAGTACTACTACTCTGATTTCTCTTCAGATCACATAAATCTCTCTCCTTTCACCAAGCCCAAGTACTATAAGAATAATTTCTTTTGAGGCCTCTCTTCTGGACTTACAAGGCCGCTCTTTTACTGCATTCTTGCCTGGCCTCTTCCTCTTCTGACACCAGTCTGGTCAGATTACGGCCCCACCCAGGTGACCTCATTAACCTTAATTATCTCCTATAGTCCTATCTTCAAATGTGGTCCCTCTCGGCTAGGGCTTTCATGTCTAGGGGAGAGAGGACAGGTCAGTCCATGCAGTGTTAGGTCACTGGCATTAATTGGCACATCATTCCCCATGCTAGACACAGAGATGCTGTCTGTCTGAAAAGTCTTGATTTGAAGCTTGCTGTGAACCACCTCACTGGTGGCAAATGACCCTTGAGACAAACCTACAGCAGTCCCAGATGCCGCATCTTCCCGCTCCACTCCGGGAGACCTCCATCGTACCTTCTTAGTTCAAGTGTTCCGGCGAAACACCAGATCTTTGTGTATGGTGCAGACAGGGAACATGTCATCATCGATCTTTGTATCCTGGACTTCTTTCATGGTGCTCGTTTCTTGGAACTCCTCAGTCATCCCATCACAATCGAAATAACTGTGCTGGCTGGTGAAATACTGGCACAGATGCCAGCATGCCCCTTTGCTCCATTCTGTCCAGTCATGTCTACTATATTATGTCATCACCATTTTTTCATCTGTAAACGTTGAATCTTCTTGAACTATCTTCTTTTTACACTCTGCCCTACCCCAGTACCAGGGATCAAACTCAGGACTTTGCACTTGTGAGGCAGGTGCTGTGCCACTGAGCTAAATCCCCGGCCTACTTAAATTCTTTGCTCTAACTTTTCGCTGACTTTTTAAATTTACCATCTTATGCAAGTTTATGTCTGATCTCTGACTCCTAGGAAGTGATTGGTTTCCCCCAGGTTCCTTTTCTTATAACTTCATAGCTAGTTCCTTTTCAACTAGTTGAATTCAACCCAAGATGGGAGTTTCTTTTGGTGCATTCTGTATTCTTTGGGAGATCATGTTGTCTACTGGGCAGACCCAGAAATAATCTGATGTTCGCCTTTCACCGAATGAGATTCTTATTTTTCCAGAGACACTGGAAGAATCCATTCTGACTGCCTTATCTGCGGGATGGGCCTTGAGATTCACATTATGAAACTCATGTCTTTCCTGTGGTGTCCCATTGGCCAAGCAGTCTGTAGTCAACCCTCCCTGAGCACTGCAGCAGTGACTCACCACCCAAGTTCTGTCCCCAAGGCTATGGATTCCCTAGCAGACTTACCTGCTCCCTGACAAACAAGTTCATACTCTTCTTCTATTGGCAGCAGTCCTTTTTGATAGAGAACACTTATTCATGTTATATTTTCAATCCAGACAAGTTCTGCAACGTCACCTTTTCCCCAACTAAGTTTTTTCGACAGATAGTAATTGTACAAGTCTATGGTCACAGTATGATAATTTTATACATGTTTGCAGTGCATAATGATCAAATCAAGGTAATTCACATTTCTGTCTCTTTAAACATCTGTCATTTCTTTGTGTTGGGAAACTCCAAGCTCCTCTCCTTAGTTCTTTACAAAATAGGTAATAATGTGGCCATGAGGTCATCCTTGCCAGCCTGGGGCTCAGTAAAGCTGAGTGGTTCAGAAAATGGACAATCTGGTTTTGAGTTTTGAGTGCAACCTTCCCACTAGATGATCTTGAGCAGACATTAGGAAAGTCATAGGAGATAGCCACACGTGCAGGCTGACACTTGGGTGTTAGCCACACCCTACTGTGAGTGTAGAGTCCCAGGGGCCCAGAGGATTTAACTTCACTCTTCCCTCTAGGGGAATCTGCTGGCTTCTGGGCCCTGCTTCCATTTCCTTCTCCTCATTGATCCCTGT